GCCCTGGCACAGGTTGCCCAGAGGAGCTGTGGCTTCTCCAACCTGGCCTGAAAGTGTTCAAGGCCACACTGGACAGGGCTTGGAGCAACCTGGGATAGTGGGAGGTGTCCCTGCCCACGGCAGGGGGTGGAATGGGATGAGCTTTAAGGTCCCTTCCATCACAAACCATTCTGTGATTCCATGATTCTAACACAGGTCTGTAGTTCAACTGGCTCAATGCCAGAGGAACTGGTTCAGTAGCCATGCCTGATATTTTTAATGTGGAAAATATTCTGTGGAATCCTCATGTAACTTAAAAGCTTCCAACTGAAATAAAAATACACCTTCTGCTATCCAGGTTATGGATCCTGCCCTCCCAAAGGCTTGCCATGGGGGAGGAAAGGGACCCCAAGGAAACAGTGCTGGTCTGTCTGCTCCCACCTTCTCTCCCAGCAAAGACTTCCTGCTCTTGCCCCTCTGTCAACTGTGACCTCTGCACATCCCACAAGGACAGCAGGGACAAAGGTGCACTTCCCAAAGCCCACAGCTGGGGAAAGGAGAAGACAGAGGAGATCCCCAACCTACTGCATTCATAGAAGACAGACACAGGTATTTTGTGCCCAAATTTCAAGACAAGGGTTTGCCTCTTCCACACACAAACTTGCACATCAGGAAGGGTTTATTTCCCAAACTCCAGAGTCAGATTCTTCAGGCAATGTGACCACAACTGCCAAGGTTTGCTCCCTGTGTTGGTCAAACCCTCCACTGAGCCCTCTCAATATGCAGCATTTGGGGGACATTATTAAAACTTTCACTGACAGTAAAAAAACCCCACTCACACAATTTTTTCCTTCCATTGCAGCACATGAATGGATTGGCAAAGCTCTCCCTGATGCCAGAGCACAGGGATGGACACAAGCAGAGACACAGGGGCAGCTGAAACTGCTAGGGAGGAACAGCTGACTGTGACCAGCTGTGCCCCAGCTCACTGTGCCCACCATGGAGCAGGCCCTGACCCCTTCCCCAAGCCATCCCTGCCTGCACAGGAGCTGTACCTGCAGCCAGAAGGCAGCACACTCCAGCACAGGAACCCTGCAGACAGCCACTGCCATGGAAACCAGCTTCCCCAGCAAAGCCATCCTGCTGTCATCTGCTTTGTTCCCTTGGGGGCTGAAGAGAGATGAAAAGATGACCTGCCGGACTGAATCCTTGGTCTGCTCTTGGAAATAATTGCACATGATCTCAAGGAGCTGAAGTTCCTGAAGTGGGGTCAGTCTCTGAAAGAAAATGAAAGCAAAGCTGTAAAACAGACTGAGACTCTTGAAGGGCCATGAGCCAAGTGAGAAGACAAGAACAGTAAAGGCTGAGAGCTTCCCTTTGGGCTGAGGGACTCAGTCATGGTGCACAGTACACACATTTGAGCTTGTTGAACCACCACTGCATTTAACTGGTGACACTGAAGAGCTCCAGGTTTCACTTGAACACCTGGATATCCAAAGCTGGTGCTTGCTGACTGACATTGCTGGGGGGGGGAATACTGCTGGGTAGCTGGGGGGACAGAGTTGGACTCTGCGGACCTGATTTTTCTGGGCCCGAGAGAATTACAGCCTGTCAGTGGCTGATCTGTTACCAAGGGAAAGTCTCTTGAGAGCATCTCTCACTCAAGGATGATCTTTGTAAACTATTTCATTTTCTCAAAACAGCTCTGTACAGCTGTGGATAGTGTGTTCTTCTCTTATCCCACCAATGGGACAAGAGGTGATGTTCCATTTACCAATCGTGTTAAACCTGTAGCGTAATACCCTTTCAAAGGCTGAAAAGTTCGGGGAATAAAGGCCTTTTCTAGCAACTCGTTCTGCTGTGCTGCATAGAATCCACACTTCTACATCGTGTCCAACAGTGACAGGACTCAGCAGCACCGAGGGCTGCAGGGCCATGTACCCTCATAGTCACCAGCAGCTGTGGCTTCTGACTGCTCCTCTCTGAGTCCCCCCAATCCCAGCTCCATCCTATGCCCACACAAAACCCTTGGCAGGGCCCAGCTGCAGCACTCGGGGCTGTGGGCAGTCCCCAGGGCCTCCAGGGCCAGAACCCTGGCCAATCCATCAAGGACTGGCCACCAGCCCCCTCCCTGCCAAAAAACCTCAGTCACCAGCACCCCAGGGACCCTGTGCTGTCGTCCTGGGGCTTCAGTCTCCAGCAACAGCAGAGCCTCGGGGACCCAATCCTGCCCCTCTAAGCCCTCAGTCTCCAGCAGCAGAGACTAGGGGACCCAGCCCTGCCCATCGAAGCCCTCAGTCTCCAGCAGCAGCCCGTGACAGAGGGAGCCTGAGCCCCGTTCTGAGGCCTCAGGCTCCAGCAAGGATCCTGTCCTGAGGTCCTGAGGCCTGCCCTGCATCCCCACTCGCCGGGGCAGTGTTCCCCCGCCTCCCGGGCCCGTTCCGCTCGGCCCGGGGTGTCCCT